GTGTTCAGGGTTTAGCTGTTAGGGTTAAAGGTTTAGGGTTTGGGGTTTAGGGTTTACGGTCTATTTAGGGTTTCGGGAATAGGGCTTAGGGGTATAAGGGGGAACCGGGGCTCCTGTCAGGGTAGGGTTCTATTCTTGATTCTATACTGGTGCTTAAGGCTTGTCGGGCTTCGTAGCTTGAGGATGTAGATTGGAGGGCTTCAAGCTTAAGGTTTAGTGACGTGTTCTCAGTGTCCGGACCAAGGCTTTCAGGGCCTAGGGGTATTTAATCACAGGGTTGATAAGGGGCCCCTTGGGAGGGGACCCCCTTGTGGGTTCCTTTCCACAGGGCGCTGTGATTGAAGGTCCAGGAAACGAAGTCGCGCGGTGAGCATGCCGATATAGAGTTCAGGGTTTGATTTTTGGGGGTTTGCTTCCGACCGACTGGGATTTGGGCCTTGGGATGTGGCTGCCGGAGGATCTGGCGTTCAATATACAATGTGGGGTGGCTGCCGTTTGGGATTTCAATATTTGGGTTTTGGCATCACGGGTCAAGATAATGTAATTAGGGGTGAGGTTTAGAGACCAGGTTGCCAGCTGGCTCGCTGCCTTTTGAACCAACTAGTTTGACACGTGGCAGCGTCGTGTTTGCTCTTCGAGTTCAACTATTGCAACAGCATTGCTGCGGCAGTTGTAGGGGTTGTGATGTTCTGAGCGAGAACACTTGGAGAGGCGAGCGACTTAGTAAGTAGGAAATAAGTAGAGTTGTACGTACCCCAAAAGGGACCCTAATTAGGGTTCTGATACTTATAAGTCTAGAAAATAACTACTTGCCAAGTGTTGATGCTGATAGCGACATTGCCGGTGATGCTGTTTGCGTTGCATAGTGTGGCAGCTGTCTTGTTATCATTACTGCCATGGCAATGCCCATGCATCCAAAGCAGCACTAGTAGCAGGCTGCCGCCGGTAGGCAGTTCGTACGGGAAGAACGCGAAGAGGGAACGAGAGAGATAGAGAGACAGAGGGATGCCTTGGCCCAATACCTTTCCGAACAACATCGCAGACATAGACGAGTGTTTACAGGAGTAGTGAGCCACCCTGTCCTCAGGTTCCTATAGTCCTATAGTGCCCTAATTAAGGCCCCAAGGCCTCATCAAGCTCCGAAGCAGAAAGCTCCCCGGAGGCGGATGATGAAGCCGAGACCCGGGCCCGCGCGAAAGCGCGAGCTGCGGCCAAGGCCAAGGCCAAAGCGCGAGCTCGAGCCCGGGCCCGGCTGGCAGAGGCGAAGGAGGCAGAACGGCTGAAACTTGCGAAGGTCAAGGCGAAAGCCAAGGCCAAGGCGAAAGCCAAGGCTAAGGCGAAAGCCAAGGCTAATCCCAAGCCCAAAGGGAAAGCCAAGGCTAAAGCAAAGGCTACAGCAAAGGCCAAAGCAAAGGCCAAAGCAAAGGCCAAGGTCTTGAAGAAACCGTCCAAGAAGTAGCCTGGAGTCTACTGTTGCTGCTGTCGTGACCGTTCTTATTGATAGGCTTGTGCGGCGAAATTGCAGTGCAAACGCCTGCTGCTGCTTCTGTACAGCATCGGTCCAGTCCATCGTTCCATCGCCTGCCGCCAGTCTTGCTGTATTCGTAGACACCCAATAGATTGACTAGATGTCAGCGATGTGGGTGCATTGATGGCAACTCACCTGTGTGGAGACGTTGGTTTGGCTTCGCTATATGGCTGCCCAACTTGCATGACTGGCGGTAGTGCATCTGGCCCTATGCTGTGTGGGCCTGGGCTGTGATTTGCGTGCGGTAGTAGGAGTTTCAATGACTACCCAGACAGTCCAAGCACTTCGCGAGCTTTCGCAGAGTCAAAAAAGCTTGCTTCATTGCAGCGCTCGAGAAGACGATGTAAGTCAAAAGTCGCCTTATCCTGTGACCAGAAGGTTTGTGGATCCCTACATGTAGGCATCCCGGAGACACCCTATGAGCCTGCGGCTTTTCACGCTATATTCTCCTGTTCCGGATTCTCTAGTTTCTATGCCTATAGCTTTCACTCATCACTCAAGTAGCTAAGCATGGGGCACTTGGACCCGCAGAACCAGATAAACCTGAAAGGCACAAACCACCGCACCCCAAGTCTCAGAATTCCGAAATCCCCAGCCCGTAAACCCTAAAAGGGCGCGTCGAGTGAATCTGCTCAGTGTCTCGTTTCCAGACCTTGCCTGGCAGAGGCCGAATGTGATCGTCAAAACATCTCCTTAGTGCTAACATCGAGCACGCAGAACCCGTCGCGACTTCGCAGGTGTTGGCGGATGGTCTTTGGTCCATGGCCGTCACCCGCACCTTGCCGGACCAGGTGCTCAAGGTGCCGAGGGTACAGTTTAAGGTTCTGGGTGGTCAGTTTAGGGACGAAAGGTTCAAGGGTTCACAAGGAGAGCAACCTTAGGCTGAAGCCCCGGCGAGCCCGCAATCAGGGTTTGTTTGCTTAGATGACACGACTACCAGAAAGGTCTGAGCTGAATAGGCCCGGCTTCATGACACCTGAGGCATCGCCAGCAACAACATCATCACAAGCAGCCCATCGTCACCCATGCAAACCCTAAGCCCTAAAGCTTGAGCCCTGAAGAGCCCCTGTGCGTGGCAAAGAAGTCAAACCCTTCCCCTAACCCTGTGTGGCCTTTTGAGACCTGCTGGCCTCACAGAAAAGGAGTTAAAACAAAACCAAAGCAAAACCCTGAAACCTCTCCTTTGCGAAGGCCTTAGTTGGGAGGATGAAGGAAAGACTCGCCGAGTGCCCGGCCAGCGACTTCACAGCTCACAACACGCGCCTAGGCCAGGAAAAGGATAACGAGTGGATTGACAGGAATATAGGGGCCTAAATAATTACCTAGACTATTTTGGGGGTTCCTTATTATAATCATAGTATAGTATCCTCAAAACCTTATTCTAATTATTAAGGCCCTTACATTTTTTCTGTTGTGGTTTGGGGTGTTTAGTCGTTCATGTTTAGGGCTTTTTCGGGCTGTGGGAAATAGGGTATAGGGCCAGGCTTGAGAGTTTTCGGTGTAGCGAGCCTTGGAAGCTATGGCTTCTGCCGTCTTCGCAGGTGTCGTTTTGGGGAACTGCCCATCAACTTTCCCGCATGTGATGGCCCAGGTATTCCATGATCTACTCGATCGCGATGTTGCAGGCTCATCAATTTGGGCGGGTGGGCTCGTGCTTTCCACCTGCTAGGCAGGGACGACGTGAAAGTTGCAAACGCTGCACTGTCTCACTCGCCCCGCAAACCAGACTTCGAAAGGCTCTTCAACCCTCAAGATGTAACGACGCCACGAGACGATGAATCACGCTGCAGGCCTGGCATCTCGGTGAGGCCAGCCACCACCCGAAGCCCAGCAGAGCACCACATCGCAAGAACTTCAAAACTTCAATGCAACGGCAAGACCTCGCAAGCTCCACGGCGACCAGGCCGAAACGTGAGAAGATTCAACTCGGTTGCGAACTACCGGTACTCTCCAACGCTGTTCCTTCTTTCGGTAGGCCAAATGTATGGCTAGGTCAGCAGCTACTGTAGTGTTCTCTCACATCGACAGTAACACGACAGCCAAGAAAATGGAAATGTACTGTAGTTGACCCAAAACCCTAAACCCTAAACAAGCCCCTTGCAAACTCTACAACCCGAACAGTTCATCCGGCACCGAAGGAGACTTGCGCCCACGAGGATGCACGTGCGCTCCTGCCGAAGCTCCTAGAAGCGTTGGAGCTCACCGCGCAGCACATGACAGTCTCGGGCGGATTGGGGGATAGCCTGGGGTTTAGGGTTTACTTTTGCACTACCATAACCTGCTTTTGTACGTTCGTATTATAAGCCCTAATTACATAAGACTTCACCAAAAAATTGGTTTTGGTAGTTCAAGATAGGGTCTATGACTCTCTTATTGGGGAATCCGAGGACCGACTATGGTTTACGTTGACCTATCGCAGCCTACTTGGATCTTTTCGGAAGAACTTGGAGAGAAGATTGCTTTGGAGAAGATTGCTTTAGGATGGCTGGCTGCCCTTCTGCTCTTTGACATGGCTATTGCAGGGTTCATGACAACAATACTGGTGAGGTGATGACCATGGCGACGATGGCGGGGTTGTTAGACACTTGTGCTTTGCTTTGTTTCATGTTTCGTGGCAGGAACCTGGATGTTGATGGCATTGCCTGTTTCGCAACTCGTGCGAAAGCAGGATACCTAAAACCAAGAGCATGACGTCGCAAACGTTTTCTTGCGAGGAGCTGTAAAAGGTAGATTTGTTCATCGCAGCGAGACACGCAAAGTCAAACACAATACTCCGCAATTTCGAGAGCCTGCACCTAAGCCTGCTCATGCCGCAAGTTGAAGTGTGGAGATGTTGCACATCTAATCAGCAGAAAGCCCTTGCTTCCCCTTAGTCCTGAACAGTTCGCCAGAAAGAGAATCCATGCTTCGTGTGCCCGCATTCCCCGCAGCCCCGAAACTGTCCGTCTCCGCAACCTCGTGAACTTGACGTTCCATGCGCAGAATGCGGTGATACGCCACATAAGATACTCGTAAATCGTCTAGATAAATTTAATGTTTTAGTACCTGTACTGTATAGTCGGATTAAAGCTAGTGGTGTTTGCAACTACCCTGCCTAACTCCCGAAAGCAAAATAAAAGCAAGCCCTAAGCTCCTGTACTCTCTGCACTACAGCCAGGGCTTGTAGTCCGCAAGCAGTACGGATTACTCTGACAGCACATTTTACTATCACTACCGCAGTTGGTGGCACCGCTGGTTTTGCTGACTGCTTGAGGCGATGATGGTGAAGATGACTAAACCCTAAACCCGAAACTCCTGAACCACAGACTTTACATCCCAAACCTAAAAAGCCCTAAACTTCTAAACCACAGACTTTACATCCTAAGCCTAAAAAAGCCCTAAACTCTTAAACCATAAACCCTACCTTGAAAGCCCTAAGCCAGAAAGAGAGAGAGGACTCCCGAGCAACTCTCCGGCTGTCTCTGGGCGCTCGGATGGCTCGATCCTGGGGCAGAGGAGAGCCGAGGCCGGCTTCCCGTGGCACAGAGGGTTTAGGGTTTAGGGTTTTGGGTTTTGGGTTTTGGGTTTTGAGTTTTGGGTTTTGGGTTTAGGGTTTTGGGTTTTGGGTTTTGGGTTTTGGGTTTTGGGTTTAGGGTTTAGGGTTTAGGTTTAGGGTTTAGGGTTGCTCTAAGGGATTTAAAAGGTTTAGGGCGAGTTCCGAGAGGGGTTAAGAATACTATAGGGGTACTATAGGCGTTCTTTTAAGGGCTCCAGAAAGGTGCCACTATAGGGCTCAGAGTTTTAGGAGTTCTGCAGAAAAATTAGTTGAAGCCCTGTCGTCTCGCATGTGTCTACAATTTCTGGTTCAAGAACATGTCTCCGTGTTGCACGTCGGTGCAAGATCTTTCGCAGATGGGCCACATGAGAAAGCAGGCTTCCTCCACCCTCGTGGCTCAAAGTTACAGAGAAGGGCAGTAGTCCAGCCTCTTGGAATCCACCTTCTTGGCCTGAAGCTGGGTTTTGCTAAGGAGTGTCAAAAAATAAGGAAACCCCTTTATTTGCTACAGATCCCTATATGGCAGCTTAAACTACAGTACATTCCTTAGCAGAACCCAAGGGAAGTGTTCCCGCGCAGGTACTTTGAAAGCGGTGCGGAGCGAGGCTGGGAGTTTCCATCGCAGATTTTCCCGAGGTCCAGATTTACTACCATTGTAGGACCAGGTCCAAAGCCAGAATGGGGATGGTATTTTGGCACCTAGTGATGCATGCGTATTACATATATATATATATATATATACATATATATATATTGTATTGTATATAAATATATGTATACACACACATGTACAGATACATACATTCACACCCACACACACACACACTACCATTATGGAGTTTTAGCGGCCCAAAAGGCTAAGTGGGGATGAATTTGTTGGGCGTAATTCCATAATGGCAGTGTTTTTCGACACTCGGGGACTCGTTCAGTAGCAAGCGCGTACACACTCCCATGCCGGAGGGCATCCTGTTAGAAAGAGCCGCGCCTGACAAAACTTACCTTACAAGTGTTTCGGATTTAGTTTAGGGTTTACGGTAACCTCATGCCCCTTTAAATCTCGGATCCGAATACCCGGATGCTGCCGAAGTCAGAAGCCAAGCGCGAACCGCCGCAGATTGCTTTCGGACTGGCGGAGATGAAGATGAAGGAGTTGCCTCTGGGCTTTGCAAGACTGGACTTCGATATTTTGGAGTGTAAACCCTCCTAGACCCTAATCCCTATATTCACTACGGTACTTGTATTTGGGAGTTTGGTAGATCGAGTCCTGGGGGAAGACTTCTGATTTGGAGTGAGACTCGGAGCCTTGAGAAATGCTTGTCGTTTAGGGAGTTCAGAATGCTTCTGTTCTCGGAAGGAGCAGGATCAGGATCAGAGGCTTCGGATGTGAAGATTTTCGCAAAGTTTCCGGGTTAGGCTTAGGATATTGGGAGTGTCTTGAGTTTCAGGGTTTACGGTCCGATTACTTAGCTTGAAGCGGTGGGTAACCTCGATGGAGTCGCCGGGTTCTTCGACCCTTAGCAAAAAGTTACACGCTTGGGGTTGAGGGTAGACCGTCCCCCTGGGTTTACTCCGACGTGCGACTCGACCCATGGTATAATATGGAGTTTGTATTACGCATCGAAGTAAGAATGAGGGACCTTTAATCAATGTTGATAAGCTTCAAATGGAGAAGAAAGCCGATGAAGGCCCGTAGTGGAGGCCGACACATCTGCCAAGAAAGACCAGCCATACAAGGCAGCACTTTCCTATGTTGTTGGAGCTGCGCTGCAAGCTGTAGAACCAGATTCAACATATTAACTCTTTGATGGCTCCCTTTCAACCGCTCTGGTAGGGGATCCCTTTCATACCGAGGTCGGAAGCCCTGTGGGGGTTTGCTGCGTTGCAGTTCAAAGACGAGGAGCGGTGCCTAAGGTGGGCTTATAGGATTTACGCACGTTGGTGAGATTCAAGGTTTTGACTTACCTGGTCAGGGTGTGAGGCTGATGGCATTGCGTAGGCCGTTGCACACGTGGTTATACTAGTTTCACCCTGCCCTCCGTACCAACCCAGCCCCACATCCCAAAATCGCTCAGCCCTTGGTGTGCAACTCGACGGAGCATTTCACAATTCCGTGCTTGTCCGAACTCGCTGCACCCGGTGGTCACATGGGCTCAATCAAGCTGTTGCATGCGGTCGCGCTTTGCGCGTTTGCCGCGGCGTCTGGTGGCTCAGAACGTGCTGAGCTTACACCGCGATCAGTCTTTTGCACAGTCCATAAACCTAAGAATGCAGTTCCTTGAAACAGTGCTCGGGCCCCTTGTGGTCATGACTAGGAGCGGTGCAGTTTCTTGCATCTAGCGGCACCTTTTGCCTGCTTGCGTCAGTGAAAGCTGAGAAGCCGGCAGATAGGTTCGCCTCGTAATTCCTTTTCTCTACCCAGAGGCCCCATAGTAGTTCCTTTTTCGGGTTACCTTATAGGATTCTATATATGAACCCCCAAAAGGAACTACTTTAGGGCCTATATGGGTGCTATATGAACCCTGAAAGAGTCCGCGCCAGAGGCTCGGCGGCTCCCGACCATGACGGCCATGGAGCTCTTCTCCGAGACGCAGCTCTCCGAGCCGCCCTTCAGCCAGGCCGCTGGAGCTAAGGGAGGTTTAGGTAGTATTATTAGGGGTACCCCTTAAAGGGTACCCCTTCTGAACCCTACTTGGGCTCTCTCAAAAGGGACCTTATTGAGAGGGTCTATATCCCCAAGGGTCCCCCTAATCCTAGCTCCCAGGGTTTTTCCCAAGCTGTTGCACACGGGAGATGCAAGGTATGGGGGCCTTGGGGGTCCTGGTAAGATTTCCGGACTCTCCACTGGCCGAGCTCCGAATTATGAACCGGATTGGAAATTGGCTGAATGTTGGGGGAAGTACGGCCAAGATGTATTGAGGGTTGCGTAGAGGCTGTTGACCGCATAATGATACCGCTAGCTGCTAGTTGAACACCGGAGGGTGTTCGGGAACTGGTTCAGCTTGGTCATGAGTTCGGAGAGACGCAAACAGATTCCTAACGCAGGATGGCTGAACGTGTGCTTTTGTGATTGGTGATTTGTGGGTGCTGGATCAATCTGCAAGGTTTGCAGGGTTGGGTCGTGGTTTCAGGGTCAGGGACTGTTGGCAAGGGTTAGCAGAGATGGGTCGAAGTCCGGTGGTTTCGTGGGTGGGTAAACCGCATGTCCCCAGTCCTGTTCCCGACACCCTGGCAGAAAAGGACAAGGATAAAAAGCTCTGCGCCGAGGCGCACATGTTCGAGGGCCTTTCAGCCGAGCAGAAGCAGGGCATCATCCGGGACCGCGATGCTGTGAAGTTACTGCTTTGGTGCTAAGAGGATTGCAAGGCTTCTACATAATAGGAAGGTTTAGATAAACTTCGCAGTTCCAAGCGTTGCCCGACGGTGTCCGGCAAATCGAAGCCCTGCATAAGCGAATTGTTGAAGTCCACGACTCATGACTTGCATCTGTGTCCATGAACCCCGAAGTTTGGGAGGACTTAGACGAGCTCGACGGAAAGCTTCCCGGAGGAGGCCGCAGCTCTAAGCCCTACTAAGCTACGGATCAACGAAGCAGGATCGGTAGTCGCGTCCTTACTATAACACACCAGCATGTGGTCCATAGGCCGCTAAACTTGCTAAGCTCTATTGGGGATGTTGGCCTCGGCAAATCATTCACTTGGTTCTTGATTGCGGGTTGTTGGTTCTGGGTTCCCGTTTGGGAACTAGTTCGGTGTAGAAATTAGGTTTCAAATCTTTCACTTCGGGTGCTTCAGATGCCGCCCTCGGGATCAAGTTTGTGTGCGCATCCAGGTGCTGCTGACACTAGGAGAGGTGAGTCTCGCGATGTACTACATGTTCCCTATGGTGGGAATCGGCTGGAAGCATACTACGACTAGGTGGCAACTCGGGCTGGGAATCCAGTCCACTTTCGATCCGGTGAGACTTCAAGGCTGCCTTGAAGAACAGCAGTTCTGTCACGACTGTTGTCCTTGAGGGCGTTTTCCGTAAGGCCTCAAGGGCTACCTCGAGCGCGCACGGACACTCCTGGCGGATGCCAAGTCTGGAAAGCAGCTCAGCAGCGGCCATTCTCTGCAGGTTTTGCAAAGCTAAGAGCTAAGGTGCCTATTTATGGGTAACTATTTCTCCATGCAGTGCTCACAGGCTGTGGCTACCACAGAAACAGATCATGCATCATTCTCAGCCAAGAGCCGTGGATTGACATAAAGCCATGCGGTCATAGGGTTGTTTCCATTCGGACATCATCCCAGGGTTGCTCGGAAACTTAAGCCCTAATCCCTCCTTAAATGCTTAAGCGGAGTCAAACTCTCGCCTTCAGTACCCACTAGATGTCTTGACGGCCCAGGAACCCTTTCGAGGGGCTGAAGCCGGAGGTCCCGAGTGGCGAGCGGCTCACAGGCTTTGTGGGGTTGTCAGGATTCCAAACAATCCGAGGGAGCAGGGCCTGAAGCATGCTTTTGCTGTTCGGAAGCCAAGACGAGCTCAGATTTTGGAGACGAAGTGTGCGCTGCAGAGTTGTTACTTTGTGGTGGAGCACCGTGTGTGCAGGCGAGACAGGGCCAGGATCAGCCAGCTATGCAGAGTTCGAGCGGAAGGCATGCAAAGCCGGATGGTGGTGGTTGTGGTGGTGGTGGTAGATGGTCGTGTATAGACGTACTTCAAGTCAGATGCGGCTACCATGCACAACAGGCTTGGAAGCGTAGAAACCCATGGTGTCTGCGCACCCACGACCGTTCAGTGTTTGGCGGCTTCTGCAGTTGACAACCGGTTGGTATCCCTTTTGTCAGGGCATGGAACAGCTCAGCAAGACATGCTTTTGCCTTGTGGCCGGTGGTCTTGGTGAGCGGTTAGGCCAGGCGCTTGGTGCGAGAAAGACTTCTTAGTTTGACCTGATATCGTCGGCGTTTTCTTGTGAGTGTATGGCTGATAACCCTGCAGCCGGGCACCAATTTCGCAGTTCGCTGATATGCCACAGCTTTTTAGAGTGTATCAACTCGGCCCTCATGGCAGAAACTGTATTGGCACGGCACAGGTTATCCTGGCATCAAGATCGGCATCACAGCAGAGCTTACCACGGGCGTGTCCCTCGGCTATCCGCCAGCGGACCAGCTCCTCAAGCATGCGCTGATTACTTTGCTAAAGTTGTTCCTGCGAGGCTTTACCACAGCTCCTAGAAACCCTTCAGTAGGAACTTTGCATGCCTTCAGCTCGCAGAAGCGAGACTTATCAAAGTGTTCCTTTGAGGTCACATCGCATACTGCTGTGTGTGTGACGCTGTCTTTGGTCGATGTGGAAGACCTGGAGCTCTCAGGACTTTCATGGAGCTCTACGCCAAATACATCCTTGCGTTTCAGGCGGAAGCTGGGTGTGGGGGGTATGTTGGGTTGAGGGGTCAATCTGTAGACGAGGGTTCCGGAACCCCAACCATGTCTAAATCCAAAAGCGGCAATACAGCTGTGTGGTCGCATCTCACGACGACAGCTCGGGTTACGTCGTTCGATACAGGTGCCCTGACAGCCAGGCTGTCATGTTTCATTCTAGGCCTTGTAACACGGAGCCTGCTAGGAGTCGTGGTCCCTTACCGTCGCTAGGTGGAGATGCTTGTTGTCATTTGTGTTATCTAGGCCTCGCTGCAAGCATGTCGCAGCGTGTTACCTAGCCTTGACAGTCAGGCATCACCGAAGCAAACTTGACATGAAGCTGGCCAAAAATAGACCCTCACGGCCAAAACCCTAAACTAAACCCGAAATCCTAAACTAAACAGTAAAACACTCACATAAGCCGAGAGCCGATGTGCATGCAAGGCATTTGCTCGAAAAGCCACTGGAGACAACTCCCTGGAGCTCCCCCTGGCGATCATGACCTCAGGTCTCTGGGTTAAGAGATGAGGATTGCTGTTTTTGTTCATTCTCCTCTTTCCTCGGCACGGGCGACAGTCAGGGTGACCCTGATCGCGGATTGGCTAAGAATAGTTCACTCATATTCACTCAGTCTGACACTTCGCTTAGCACGCGGTGGTGTCGTGCTGAAGAATAATTTTGATGGCTGGTCCTGGCCCAAGGATGCCCAAGGTGGACAGCACCCATAAAGTCTCTCGCCCCTACCCCCTTGAAATTCGCCCTAAACCCTAAACC